TCTTGTTCTAGAAAGGAGATTAGACAATGTGATAACACCAGCAGCTTGATAACAGAAAAAAAAATAAATCACCAACCTTCTTCCCTCGAAAATAAATGTCTGTTAATTCTACAGCATTAAGAGACACACAGTGATATGCACGAGATCACAGAATCACACTGGACTTTCCCAAATTCTTTTCTCTCAGCTCAAACTGCCCCACTGTCCAGCGCAGCTCACGGCCGGCAGCCACGGGCACCCGGATCGAGGCCAGCAGTGGTGTCTCCCATGGTCTAAGGACATACCTGCATCTGCTGCCTTCCTCTCTTCCCACAGAAACAAACCCGTGAGAAAATACTGGCACACTAAGTACCAGCCAGACAATGAAGAGCAAAACAAAAAGGCCTGAGCATCCAAGTCCCTGCTGATGTTTAGACAGGATTATCCACTTGTTTTCCATGTGCAGTTTCACAGAAACACCAGCCCTCCGCTTTATGCACTGCTTTCGCTGGCATTAGGCTTAAATAAACGCAGCTATAACATCTCATAGATGTTAATCAAGCTTAAAAATTTTTCTGACTTTTATCATCTTGTTTTTCTCCCAGTCCCCTCACCTACCTTCCCACCAGGATCTGCCTCTGACAAACTGTTCTTGAGGGTTTCCATTTCAAAGGCATCCACCAGGGAAGTCAGCAAGTAGCAGTTCATCTTAAGAGCATTGAGGTGAGCAGCACGGTCTGCATGGCTCAGCCCAGCGTCACTCAGGATGCCAGGAAGTTCATTGGAATGATGGGACACCACTGAAGAGAGGCAGAAAGTTGTGAGCACTCCTTGCCGGGCCCCTCAGCCATCCTCTCTTTTGGAGGCTTAGAGCAGTCATCAGATTACCAAAGATGTGTGCTCACATCTCACCAGATATCATGGGCTGCCCCCTGCAACCCAAACCTTGGACACGCTGTCTTATCCTATCCCCACAGCCCTTTTTCAGCTCAGAGAAACACTCACTCTGAGCTGACGCATCCTGAAGATGTATTTTCCAGGGATGTGGGCTAAAGGATTTTCTGTCGGTCTGCCCTTACAGCGAACATGCACAGCTCAGCATCGTCCACCAAGATTACAGACCCGTATGACAGGAGTGGGTTGAGGGTGCAGCCCAGCTGGCTGAGTCACATTAGCCTTTATATCATCATTGAGCTGCCAGGGGAGAGCAACCTCTCCCTTAGTCCTGCTTTGGTCAGAAACAGCGGATACCCACCGTTCACCATCAGCTCCAGGGCGTCCTCCTTGACAGCGGTGCCCATGGTTCGGAAGTGGCTGCGGGGCAAGCACAGTGCGTGAGGGCAGCGGGCAAACAGCGCTTGGCGAAGGGGTGAGCGCCCGCCTCTCCGCCTCCCCCTCCGCCCGCTGCCCCCCGTACTCACTGGAGCACGCTGTACACGGAGTCGAAGTGCTGCAGCACGGCCAGCGCGCCCCGCGCACGGAAGGCGGCCCGGAAGGCTGCGGGAAAACACGGGGAAGGGCGGGGAAGACACGGCCGTGAGCCGGCGGCAGGACCGGGCCAGGCCGGGAGGGGGGGCGCGGGGAGAACTTACCTGCGAGGGCGGGTGGTAGTTCGCGGATGGGCAGCACCTCCTGCACCACGTAGTGCCCGCGGCCATCGTCCCGCAGCAGGTCGGCGGGGGCGAGGGGCAGCTGGAACTGTGGAGCCGCCGCCACGTCCGCCATGGCCGCCACAGCTCAAAACAGCGCGCGCGGGCCGCGATCGCCCCGCCCCCTCCACGGGCCTATCACCGCCCGGTGGCCTCGCCGCGCGCCGGCGTCGCGCCCAATCGCCGGCCCCCTGCGCTCGCGGCCGTTGGGCAGACGTCACCGGCGCGTCCCTGCGCTCCCCGGCGGAAGGGGCTGCACCGGCGCACGGCCCTTCCTGGCCCTTCCCGTCCTTCCCTCCTGGCCCGTCCCTTCACCCAGAGTACCGGGGGTCACCCCGATGGCGGCAGCGGCGGCAGCGCTGCTGCTGCGGCCGGCGGGCCGGGCCGTGCTGGGCCGTGCCGCGCCGCTGCTACGCGCCGAGCGGGGCATTAGCGAGGGCGGCGGGGCGCGCTGGGCGCCCGTGCGGCCCGGCCTCCCCGTGCCTCTCTCCTCGCCCCTGGCGGGGCTCACGCGGCCCATCCTCATCAAGGAGCCGCCGAAGCGCAAGCAGGTGGACCGCTGGACGGAGAAACGGGCCTTGTTCGGGGTCTACGACTACGTGGGGATCCTAGGTAAGACACACAGCCCGCCCGCAGGAGGGGAGGGAGGTTGGACCCATCTGCGGGCTGGCGCCTCCTCCAGCAGCCAGAGGGAGGGGAGGATTTGGGCCGGCCGCCCTAGGAACCGCCTTCTCCAGAGCCTGGCTTCACCTCTGTCTTCCCTCCTTGTTCTCAGGCGGCTTTCAGATCCACCCGAAGAATCTCATCAAGGGGCCCGCGTGGCTGCGAGGCTGGCGGGGGAACGAGCTGCAGAGGTGCATCCGCAAGAGGCAGATGGTGGGCGATCGGATGTTTGTAGAGGACCTTCACAAACTGAACAAGAGGATCCGGTACTTGTACAGGCGCTTCAATCGCACCGGGAAGCACCGCTAGGGTTCGGCATGTGGAGCGTGGGTTAGTGGCATCGGAGTCAGAATAAAGACAGCTTTCACTCAGTTGGGTTCCCAGTGCTTCCTACAACCTTTGCTGTGTATTTCTAGCTGCTCCCAAGGTCCTGCTGCTGCTCCAGCCCTGAGCTCCTCTGTGGAAGTTCTTCTGTGCCCCCTTAAGCATTTCTGACATACTTCTTGCAGACATCTGTCCCAGTCTGCATCCCTGGACTTGACCCTCAGGTCTCTATTTTTTGCCCAGGTTTCTAGCATCCTTTTAGTCTCTGTTAGCCCCAGGTTCTCACATAGTACTTGACAATTCCAGTATGCTCTAGCTTAGATTTTTCCTCATAACTAAATTTTCAAGTTAGTGCCAAGAGTGCCTGCTAATATATCTTCCTGCTCACTGCTTTCCCCCTTGCCCTCTGCTTATTTGTGATTAAGTGTGAATGATCCAACTGTTAGTTGAAATGCATCAAAACTTGTCTTAAGAATGGGATTTGTCTCCTGTTTCACACTTATGATGACTTAAACCCCTGCTAATGACATTTAATGGCCAAATGGCCTTTTGTTTATAATTTAGTTAGGATTTGCAAAAGTAATTCAGGTATTTAACTGTTTTTAAAAACTCTAGCTTCTAGTTTTCCATAACTGTTACTGGTTCCTTTAGTGGAGAAGTTACAGTGAGTCACAGCTGGCATCCCTCTAGTCCAGCATCACAAAGACCATTGTACACTTGGGAAAAAACTGTAGGATGAGCAGGCACTTGCCTACCTCTTCACCCTTAGTTGTTAATTTGGCTGCTAAGTAATTGGGAAGTTACATCTGCTGACCTGATGTAACTTGCTACAGAGCAATGCTGCTCTGTCTCCAACAGCACTTGGTTGGAAGTGGCAGGGAATGAATGGAAAGAACTTTCTTTACGTCTAAGCCTGGGAAAAGTGAAGGCAAACTCTATTCAAACAGCTGAAGTTCACATTCTCAGAAGCAGGGTGGCAGACCCGTGGGAATTGCCAAAAGGTGGTGTGGATTCAGGAAACGTGCACAGATTCAACTGGGGACTGAGTAAACACCTGAAAGAGAGCAGCTAGGAGTTATTACATACGTAAACTGTAGGTGTAGCAAATCCTTAGCTGAAAATATGTCAGAAACAGGAAGAGTGTCAGAGCAAATACCTTGTACCCTTTGTCATCTCTTAATCCCTAAGCACCAACCTGGCAAGGGCTCTGTGGCCACTACTTCCATAAGCTCTGTCTTTGGTTATTTGCAATGGTTATTGGAACAATCCTTGGACTGCGGTGGGAAGGTCGCCAGGCTACAGAAGCTTCTTCCATAACTTGTCCCTTCGCAGCTTGACTGAAGGCTCATCTTAAAAACCTTCAGTTCTGCTGAGCCCAGTGCTAGTCTGCCCCTATCTGCAAATCACCTAGCTCAAGTCACAACCCTGAATTACGTGTTCACCTTGTAGCCGTGGTATTTTGGTTCCCATGCTGTCATCTGTGACATATCTGTCCTGTGTATCTACTAATCTATCAGATCTGATACTAAAAACTTCTATGAATGTCCTGTATCACCTTATGAAAGGAAAAGGTATTTCAGTGTAAGTGTGAACCCAGGCTTGTCACCCTACTCACCACGCCAAATGCTCTATGAAGAGACTTCTTGTTCCAATATGCTCCTGCCTCCTTTTGTGTCCTGAATTGAAGAATCTTCCCGTCTGATCCATCAGGCTTCTCCAGATCTGTAGAGGGGAAAAAATGCAAACACGTTGCTGTTAGCGGGGCTGCTGCAGGAGCTTCATTTCCCCCATCAGGCTGCAGAAGCTCAAACGGGACTTGTTCAGGTTCCCTTTCATGCTGTGCTGTATGGTGGAAGTGGGCCAGCGACACCATCTCTTAATTGCAAGGGCAGCGGCTTCCCCAAAGCCAACAGACACAATGCGGTGGTGGGATTACGGAAGCGCTCCGCAGTCCCCACCGCTACGGCTACCACCGGGATGGACTCCAAGGGGAAAACTGGACGGGGCGGGTAACCACGCTCAGGCTCTGCGTGACCGACACGGAGCGCGGCGGACCCGCTCAGGGTTGGCGGGGCCGGAAAGTGCAGCGCCTGGCCACGGGAGAGCCCTGGATCGGGATGCGGATGGGGATGGCGATCAGGATGGGGGCAGAGTCACCCGCGGTTCCGCAGGGGGGGCGGGGCCAGCGCGGGGGGCGGGGCACTGGCCCCGCTCCCATTGGGCGGCCCGCAGGGGAGTTACTGGGGGGCGGGGCTCGTCCCCACGGCAGTCCGAGTGGAATCGCAATTGCGGAGCGCTGATTGGCTGAGGAGGAACCCAGGGACGGGGCCGATCTACTACTCCCGGCGGGACAACTTTTGGTTGGCTGCTGGCTCTGTGGGCGGGGCCCGGCCGGCTATAAGTGCGAGTGGCGGGGTTCCCCGCCTGCCGGTGAGGAGCTCTAGCTGTGTGTTCATTCTGCGGGGTGCCGGTCCGGCCCGGCCATGTGAGTGTCCGACCGACAGACCGGCCGCAGGCTGCGGCGGGCGTGGCGCGGGGGCGGTGGCTGGAGCGCGAGGGAGCGGGGTCAGTGCAGAGCCCGCGTCCCGGCCGGCGGCGGTGGGGCCGAGTGGCGCATTGCAGCAGCCGCAGGCAGGGCTGCCCGCACCGCCCCCGGGCGGTCCTGCGCTCCTACCGGCTGCGGGTGGGTGGGTGCGTGGGCCGTGCCCCGCTGGCGATGCGCGGAGCTGTCGCGTCCCCCTCCCGGCCGGTGCCAACCTGGCCGGCGGCCACCGCTGCACCCAGCCCGGGGGCTGCCGCGTCCCCATGGGGTGCCCCTGCGCTGTCTCCCCCTCCCCGTTCCTCCTCCTTCCTTTCCTGTGTCCCGGTCACCTCCGTGCGGCCCCCCTCCACTGACGCACCCGCACGCCCCCGCGGCCGATCCCCACAGCCCCCCTGGGCTTGTCGCTGCTCCGGGCTCTCCAACGAGGCCACCTGCTCCCGGTCCGGGGGATCCAGGGAAGGTGCGGGCCCGCGGGGCTTCGTGTAGATCTGGGGAGTTGTCTCTCGAGCGGTCTCTTTGCCCATGTATGTCTCTCCCTAGGTCTGACCCAGCTCCGCAGCCTGCTCCCGGGGCCCCCGAAGGGGGAGCCCCCGAAGGAGGAGCTACTGAAGGGGGAGCCCCCGGTGCGGGCCCCCCCGGGGCTCCCCCTAATCTGAGCAGTAATCGCCGCCTGCAGCAGACCCAGGCCCAGGTGCAGGAGGTCAGTAGCTCAGCCCTGCTGGCTTCCCATTGGATGCCTAGACTTTTCTCCCACTGCTCTGCAGCAGCGATGTTCTTGACAGGTGTCTGTCGCTGCGGGGGTGGCTCTTCGCGTCACACCAATGCCAGAAATGCATTAATACATAAACCTATAAAGAGGCTGAAGGAGAGACTGGTTTTTGTTTAAAAGCTGCTTAATTCTAGATATGACTTCCAAAGAGCAGGCCAGTTAGATTTTATTTTTTTTTTAGTACTTCATATCGTGCATCTCTTATGGAAATAAAGCTATACGGCATCCAGGACAGCTCTTAATCCCTGCCTGCTGCTTCAAGGGAACAGTGTGTGTGAGGTGGGATGTGGGGGGACCCTTGCCTGGCTTTCCGGGATCAGTGCCTGCATCTTGGCTGCTGCCGTGCAGTAGCGCCTTTGTGCCTCACTGGGGCAGCAACACGAAGCTCGCAAGTTAATTTTGCAGTTGCCGAGGAGTGAGCATATCATTCCTCTCACGAGGAGGGTGGCTGTGGCTTGCTGCTGGATTTGAGAGCTTTTAAAAGCGGGCGAGAATGGGGGGCTGAAGACCTGGTTTAAACGTTAGTTATTGGCCGACTTACTCTTCTTATTTTTTCAACTGTCTTTACTAATACAACTGCTGCTACTGTTCTTCCTTCTGCAGGTGGTTGATATAATGTGTGTAAATGTAGACAAGGTGCTGGAACGAGACCAGAAACTGTCAGAGCTAGATGACCGGGCAGATGCACTTCAGGCCGGTGCCTCAATATTTGAAAGTAGCGCAGCAAAACTCAAAAGGAAGTACTGGTGGAAGAACTGTAAGGTGAGTTTCCTAGTACCATGATCTCCTTCAACAGAGGGGAAACTGGGTTATTCCTCTCCTGCAGGACTTTGCAAGTATACTTGGGGCTTTATGACTATTTCAAATGCTTAAGATTCTTTCACTGTGGAAAGATTTTGAGACCTTTGCTGTCATGCCTTCAGGATCTCACTTACTTTCCCTGGCCATCAGGGAGGATGTGAACTTGTCCATCTGTTCTGAGTATTACTCTTTGACAATCTTTTTCTCTAGATGATGATCATGATGGGAGTGATTGGTGCCATTATTGTGGTGGTGATTGGAAGTAAGTACCAAAAAGCTCAGGCTCAAGGGTGAAGAAACACCAACTCTAGCTAGACTACTTTAATTTTTCCTTTTTGGTTTGAGATCTCAAGGGTCTTAGTTGCATAAGTGTTAACTTCAGTCCTTGGGGAAGGGAGGTGGAAGTGCTGGAATTCCCTCACTTATTGCAGAAATAGCATACTTTACATAGTAATAGAAAGAATTGGGGATGCCATCATTGTAGAAATGGGAAATTCTGCCTGCAAGGTCAGGTAAACCTGTAAGTATGAGGGGCCTTTTCCCTGGAGTGGGTGGGTTGGCAAGTCCCTTCCCTGGTGGGTAATTTGGAGGTCTCTGAGGGACCTTTGGTATAACTTGCCCTTTTGTTCTTTCCTTTTTTTTCCCTATTGCTTTGTCTCCAGTCTACTTTTTTACTTAAATGTAGCTCCTTCAGTCTGCAACCTACTGTCCCCTATCACCTTGCCTGTCTATTCTTGCCTCCAAATCTTTCCTTTCCTTCCCTTCTCTTCTCTTCCCTTTCCTTCCCTTTCACCTAGCTTCTTCATTGATTTCTTTATTGGTTTTAATCTGTCTTCTGTATAGGACTCTGAGCCGCTTACCAAACATTGCTAGACTTTTCAACAGTTGCTGCAGCTTTAGGGAGGGTCCTCTATGTTTAGAGGAAAGGGAAATAAGGAGGAGTGGGTAGCTATTTGCTTCTGCTCTTCTGCAGGGAATTTTGGGGGTTTATTTTCGGCTGTGAGCTTGTCAAATAGTGCCTGTGTGAACTCTTGCAAAATAAGAATGCCTTAACGCAGTGCCTTTGGGGATGAAGGACTTCACCATGTGAGATTCTTTAGTGTTCTGCCGAAAAAGAGTGGCAGCACGACTTGAGCTTTTCATTGAGTTTTTGAGATAAAGGCTAGTTAGTGATGGCCAGTGACTGTGAGCCATCTGACTAAGCTAGACATAGTGATGTAGATTTCTCTAGCCATGGAGAGACGAGCACTTAAATGATTTATTCTGTCTGTCCTTATTTTCAGCTGACTTGATCTCTGAACATGGCCATTTCAGGTTTTATAAAGGCGAGCCTACATGATTACCTCAGTCAAGTGCAACAGGCTAAACACGGTTA